ACAAAAAATATTCAAATTTTAGTCACTTAAGAAACTAAACATGTATCTAATAATTAAGTCAGGATCTTTGTTTGGTTTAAAATCCACAACATAGTATATATTTCGTATTTTAGTGTATATATACTTAAATTAATAATATTTTATATATATATTAACTTAAAAAATTATATTAACTTATTAAATATATTTTATTATCAATTTAATTTAAAAATATTTTATTTTTATTTAAAAATATATCTTTTATATTAAAAATTATGACTAAATTGAGAGTATATGTAAATTACATAGATCAAATGTGTTATTATACCAACTATCACGTCATATGTTTTATTAATTGTTAACATCAGTTAACATGTGATGATCACATCTTAATTAAATAAAAATAAAAATGATTATGTCTTATATTTTTTGAAATCAGTGATCAAAAGTTGATAAAAAACAAACATTTTTAAATTCTCGTCTACAAATCCAGATAAAAACAAGTGTCTATTTTAACAATAATATTTAATATATAATAAAAAATAAAACGACTACAAATCCAGATAAAAACAAGTGTATACAAAGATAAAGAAAGAAAAGAAGTGTGCATAAATTAAAACGAAATGAAACATGACACTTTCGATTCTCGTCTAAAGTAGAACGAAAGGAAGCATAACACTTTTAATTATCGTCTAAAGTATAACAAAATAAAACATTGCACTTTCAATTTTCGTCCAAAGTAAAACAAAAAAAACATAACATTTTTTATTCTCGTCTAATGTAGAATAGAAGAAAACGTAACATTTTCGATTTTTGATGAAATCACCTAAATAAAAGAAAGATTTTTTAAAGAACTTATGAAAGAGTGAAGAAAAAAAGACAATGGTAAAAGAATAGAAAGCATGTTTCTTTATCAAAAACCGGCTCAAGTGTTATCTTTACCTGAAAAAGGTCAGAAAAGTCAAGTGAATGTTGGATGAAACAAATAGTTATTAGATTGTTAAGAATTCGTTAACGATAGATAATTAGGTAGTTAGAATATTGTTAGATATTAGGCTATATAAGCCTTATACTTTAATGGGTATGAGTGTTTAAAATTCAGTTTTAACCGATCAAATCGAATTAGTTCGATTAATTCGGTGGGCCATCGAATTAGTTCGGTCAAGAAACGGTTAATGATTTTTTTTTTAAATTCGGTTAACGGTTAATTCGATTCGAAATCGATTAATTAACTGAATTAACCTTTAAATATAATTATATTAAGAGACTTAGCTGGACTAATCTATTTAAAACACATTTAAAACTCAAATCAATATTAATTAATTAAAATAATCTCAATACTAAATACAAAATGTTTGAATCAAATTAATTATATATTATTTATAATTAGATATTATTTAAATTAATTATAAATTATTTTTTAATTAAAATATTAAATTCTAAAAAAATTCGGTGAATTCGAAAATTAACCGAATTAACCGAAATTTATTCGGTTCGGTTAATACTTTAAAAAAAATTAGTTCAGTTAACGATTAAAGAATAAAATTCGATTAATTCAATTAAGGGTATTTCGGTTCGATCGGTCATTATTTTAACCGAATAAACACTCCTGCCAAGAAGCCTTTGATTCAATCTTTTTTAGTAAAAATCAGTTTCTCTTCTCCTTGTCTTCTTGCTATTCTAATCCCAAGTTTATTAATGCTGGTCGCTGTTCTTCGACTTCGTCATACATCGGCCACCTTTTTCACATTGTACAATATATAGTTTTTCTTACAAGACAAAATTAAGATATTATCTTTGTGTACGTCTATTGTGAAATAAAGAAATTTGGTGATAGTAAGACAAAAATGACTTGAAATCAATCTGTTGGAGCTGATACGCATGATTTTCAGAACCATACCGGTTAATCAATCGATCATGCTATCGGTTTATTGGTTCAATCGGTTGAACTAGTCCGATCGATCGGAAGAACTGGACGACGTCATAATTATTTAAAAAATTAAATAAAAATACTAAAAATATTTAATAAAAAATAATTTTTATATCACATGTCATATTTAAAGCAAACCATAAAATATATAAGTTAAAAACTATAAAATCAAGTGAAACAAAATGATTCAAATTAACTACAACATAATATTTAAGGTAAAACATATTAAATAATAAATATAATTATATAACTATAATTAAAAAATAAATTTGAGGCTAAAAAATCATAACAAAATGATATTGTTTGGTTTATTTTAAAAAAAAAAACAATCCCACATGGCTAAGAAACATAGACGAACATCCAAAAAGTCTAAAGAGTAAAAATATGAGAACAAAACAATCTCACATGGCTAAGAAACATAGAAGAGCATCTCAACTAACTTCTATAAAAAATAGAGGTAATTTGACATTCAAAATCATGGAGTCTTTTGGTGAGCATTGAGTGAACTATTCTTTCACTTCAATCAAGCTCGAATTTTAGGCTTCAATCGAGCTTCTAAATTTTTTTTGAGTTCAAGCCTTTTCGAGTTCAAGTTTCAATATTATATTTCGAGTTCGAGTTGAACTTAATAAATTTTAGCTCGTGAGTTTGAGTCGAGTTGAACTTACTTTTAAAGTTTTCAAATTCGAGTCGAGCTCAGCAATATTCGAGCTCGACTTGGATCGTTTAACAAACGATGTCGTTTGGTTTAATTTAAAAAAAACAAAATTAGAAGTTTTTTTCGGTTTTCAGCCGGTCCGGTTCGAACTGTTCAGCGGTTCTGGCCGGTTCACTAGTAACGGTTCAACCGGTGTAGATTAAACTAGACTAGACAACGATTTTCGATTAAACCAGTTGAACCAACTGTTTCAGTCCGATTTTTAAAACACCGCTGATACGTTAATTTTGATGTTTAAAAATGAGTATAATAGAACAAAAACAAATACTGTAATAATGATATAATTGTATATTTACTTCCATAACTACGAAATAAATCATTTTTTAAATTTTAAAAATTATTAATTGAATTTTCAAATTGTTAATAGAATAATGTCATTTAAATTAGGCATTTCTTTATTTTGTCGTATTTAACGGTATTTCTATTTTTTTTATTATGTTTTATTAATAAGATACGACGCATGTTATTCAAAGTGTAATTCATAGGCATGTAAATGAACTGAATGTTCAGCGAATCGTTCATAAATCGTGCGGCGGGAAGTTCGTTTATTTATTAAATAAACGAACATGAACAAGATTTTGCTTTCGTTTAATTAAATGAACAAACATGAACAAAAGGCTCATTCGTTCATTTACGTTCGTGAACGTTCGATTATATGTTTGTTCATTTATGTTCATTTATGTTCGAACTGAGGAAAAATTGAATATGTTACGAATATTATTGAATTTGTTTGGATTTCAAGAAGATTGTTTTGTTGAACAAAATAACTTTAAGATTTTATTATGTTCATATAGTTTATTTCAGTTGTTATTCTTGTTTACTTTTTTAAAAATTCATTTATTGTGTTCAAATAAGTTTGTTTTTTTGTTTGTGTTGTACGTTTATATTCATTTATTAAATTTGTTTATTTTCGTTCTTTTACGTTCATTTATCATTTAAATAAACGAATATGAACAAAAACTTTTTATTTATTTATGTTCGTGTTCGTTTATGTTCGTCATGAATTCAGTTCATTCACCCTTAAAAACAAATAAATAAAAGTTGGGAAAGAAAAACATTGTTATTCTTTCCTTTTTTGGTTCAATAACCAAGACAGTGGCAAACAACAATATTAATCTATAAAATGCCGCTTTAAATTTCATGATCATCAAAGAGGCCAGTAGGCAGTAACTTCGGGCACCCAAATCTATTTCTTAAGTGGGATATTAACAAAGTCGCCATTAATTTATTTTTTATAATATTTAATAGATTATAATAATTCGAATTTCATTTATCCAAACTTAAAAATTTGCAAAAAAATAAATTAAGAAGAAAAGATGTGATGGCCTGTCAAATTTTGTATGTGTATAATTATAAATATATACTTGGTGATTTTAAATTTAACGAAGAATTTTCTATGTATTGCGACACATTTTAAATTTGATATATATTTTTTTCACTGACATCATAAATTTACTCGTGTACTTTTCTTTTTAAAAATTTACATAAAATTTATTTGATTTTTTATTTTACAATTGGTTACTCATTATTATCTATTATAACATAATTTTAATTAATGTATAAATTTCCTTTTCCTTACATAGAAATACGTGTTTATTTGTATTTTGTCTCCTCGTATTTCAAATTCATTCTCTTAAGATATAGTATAAATGAATTTAAATTTGAGATAAATTTCTTGTCCACGTAATAGCTCATTGCTAAATAATTAATGTAATCAGATTTCCATTTTAATATTCAAATTAAATCGTTATCCATAGTATCTAACATTATTAATATAAATAAAGAGTATGTTAGGTCTTTGATTCTTCTTCAGATTTGCATTTATATAACCATTAATTCCAACTATAAATACTTTAAACAAAAGCTGCAGTTTTCTCATCCTTTCTCTACTCTTATTGTTAGAAGTGATCATTCGATCGAGTCGAGTCAAATTTTTTTGAAATATTTGAGTTGACGAGTCTTATTTTACAACTCGGAATTAACTTGAAATTTTTTCAAATCTAATTTTAAATTTTTTGTTTAAATTTAATTATTAATATTATGATATTATTTGATTTCAATTTAAATATCTTTCGTGATATATATAGCAATCTAAAAAATACAATACATATATATTTATTTCATATGTGATATACATATATCATATAGAAATGAGAAACTCGACTCAAACTTTAAAATTCATCAATTAATTACTAAAAATATCGAGTTATTCGAGTTATATTTTATAACTCGATTTAAAATTAGGTTATATTTATAAAATTAAACTCTAAATTATTTCGAGTCAAGATTTTTAGTCGAGTAAAAAAAAGTATTTTTTCGAATAGAGTTTTGCTCGTCCTGCTTCTATCTTTTCTTCCTCCTTTTAATCCACAGTAACTTACAGGTCTGCCGCTTTCGATTCGAAAGAACTAAAGCAAACCCTACTTAATTCTTCGATTGTCAACCTCCTCATTCGCATTATTTACAGTCATGTCCTCTCACCCTCATTAACTCGTTGATGATTTTGGTTGTTGGGAGGGGCTGGAGGTGGCATTTCGGTGTAAATAAGTGATGAAGTTGAGGGCGGAGTCGTTATTGCTGTCCTAGTGTTAATTATGGGCTTGGCTAAGGCGTGGATACTCAGCGTGAAACCGGCGAACTTGGCCTTGTTACAGCATCTCAACGGCTCCGTTCTTGGCTACAAGGATGTGTGTTGGAGGTGCCGATCCTCTGAGGCGCGGCAGAGTAAGCAAATCTCATGGTCGCTCGTCTGTGGCTTGATGCTTTTATGCTTAGGAATTGTTTCGCTCTTCACCGGACACGTGGCCTCTGATCTCGACTGGTATTCTCAGCGACTTGTGAAACAAAGACTCTATTTCAAATTGGTACTATGAAAAGAAGTAACTTTACCTTCTTTCTTTTCACTATTTATACAATTTTTTTGCTAATTGTGATGCAAATGCTGTAGGATGGAAGTGATAAAGGACCGATTGATATATGGAAATCTGAAAATGGAAAGCACTTCTATGGATGCAGCAAAAGAAGTCGTAAATTTCCTCGTACGTTGTATTTATTTTTGGAAACTTTGGTAGTCCCTACAAAAAGCTGGATTAATATTTAAGAAGCACATTGTAATCATGAAAGGAATGTTTGGTTTTAGGGTAAGAAAGAGCTAAGCAATTAACCAAATGACTATATGTTGGGTTAAGGACACGTCAAATTTCAACATTACCAACTGTTGATAGAGATAAGAGCACGATAGTTGCGCCTTTACGAGTCTAGACAGCTAAAATATATGGCATAGTTAAAAAAATAATTCAATGTACCGGGACTGCTGCTTTTGCTGAAATAAATTTTAGGCTTTGACTTTGCCCATGTTTATCATGTCTTAGCTAATAATATTGGTCTTTAACTTTGAAGATTGAAACTAAATTATTGACGATTTCTTTCTGTAGTGGAATCAGATAGAATTAACTCATATTGAGCAGTTTTCTGATACTTTTCTTTTCTTTTTAGCGTAAAATGAGTCTACCTGGTGCGCTTTATCATCTGTTGTCACCTCTTATAAAGAATCTTTTTGATACTGTTTTCATTTAAACATGACTAATCCAGTCTCTTAAGCTCATTGATTCATTATTTACGTTGATATTTGATATGTAGATTCTGTACGTGAGCGATCATCGAATGGTTACTTGCTTATTGCTGCAAGTGGAGGACTGAATCAACAAAGAACAGGAGTAAGTGGAACTGTTTATACATTATGTCATATTTTTGGGTAAATATCCTAATGGAAGTTCTTTTAATTGCTTCAATGACATATCTAGCTTATTTGTGCGTAAAGAGTATTGTTACTCCTTCACTATGTATTAGTCATTTATTTGAACCAATAAGGTTTGCTTTAGTTTATTTGAATAGATTAAGATTCGATGTGCCTCGGAGATTTAGGCTGCCTACTGAATTTATTATCCTCACTGACCTTGGAGAGTACAATTTGTTTAAAATTCATATTTTGCTTATGCCACACAGATATCAGATGCTGTAGTTGTTGCACGAATTCTGAATGCAACTTTGGTGGTACCTGAGTTAGATCATAATTCTTATTGGAAGGATAATAGGTAAGTTGAATCAACTTATTTAGAAGTTCTGCACTCACGTTTAATATCCTATTCCTCTGTTTCATTGTTAAGTTTTTTATTCTTTCCTTCTAAATGCAGTGACTTTGCCAACATTTTTGATGTCAACTGGTTCATTTCTTACCTTGTAAAAGATGTTACTGTTGTAAAAAGAGTTCCTGATAAATTAATGCGATCAATGGAAAAAAATCCGTATAGTATGCGTGTCCCGAGGAAATCCCCTCCAGAATATTATCTAGACCAAGTTCTACCTTTACTTAAAAGAAGACATGTAAGACTACTCTCAGATACTCTTAGAATATTATCTATCACTAATGCCATTGAGGCTGATTGTAGATATAATCTACGTAATTGATCTTTCTGTTGCTTCATTCCTGAATTATATGTATGTGTAAATTGCTTATTCTTTTGTGAAATTAATTGCATTCAGTGCTTCAAATTATCAAGACTGTCGGTGTTTTTGGGTCAATAAGATGAAAATTAAACAAGAAGAGAGATGATGGAAGTTGTAAACTTCAATTCCTTTTGGTTGTCTGTGATGGAAAGAAATAGTAATTAAAGAAAATAAGAATGCTTCATTTACAGTAGTTTTTCACCTATCTTTTATCTCCACTTCTGGAGAATCTATAGGTTGCAAATTTCCTCTCTTCTTTTCACCTCTCTCTCTCCCCCTCCTGGTTTTGTGGTTCAGAGGTGAGAGTTTTAACAACATCCTATCCTTCTATCTTCTTTTTTATCTTTCCAATTGAAGCACCATGTTACTAGAATATTTTAATTATACATTTTCTAGGATATTATGCTTTTCATGTGGGAATGCAGCCGTTAACACACTGGAAATTTTGTAGGTCCTGCAACTGACAAAGTTTGATTACAGACTGGCCAACGACATTGATGAAGAGCTACAAAAGTTGCGTTGCCGGGCTAATTTTCATGCTTTAAGATTTACAAAACCTATTCAAGAACTTGGACAGAAACTTGTCACGAGAATGCGTGAGATGGCAAAACGTTTTATAGCAGTCCATCTGAGGTTTGTTCCTTATTCTAGATAGCTAGAATTTGACTTTCGGAAGTTATGTGCAAGGAAGTTTAAAACGGTAATACATTGAGATACGCATCCTGAAATTGGGTTTTTTTCCAGTAATTCGTGTAGCCATATCTTCAATATAACGTTGCATACTTTGGAATTGGCATGATTAGACTTATTTTAAGTCCCTTCACATTCAGGTGGTGGTCGATTTCAAATTATTTAAACCAGATAGGTTAGTGACATTGTAGAATGCCTTAAGTTCCCAATCCTCAAAACTTTGGAAATGCATCTTAACTTCAGTGAGTTTATATATGCATTTTGCTGTTATGTTTGACTTCATATCCAACAACTATGGCATCTGTGTGCATGTGTATAACGTATTCAATAACAGCACATTGGCTCATTCGCATATACAAACAGAAAAATCCGCATGTAAGATTCTAAACTGTAAGATCTGTTTTTCTTATATATTATTCAACCTTTTTTTCATTACAGGTTTGAACCTGATATGCTAGCATTTTCTGGTTGTTACTTTGGTGGAGGGGACAAGGAGAGATACGAGCTTGGAGAGATACGAAAACGATGGGAAACATTACCAGTTAGATGCCATCTTTTACGACTTCTGAGCAGTTCTCTTTTTAATATACTCCATAATACTCGTTTTCAGAAAGAGTACCCATTTTTCCACTTGCATGTTGCTTTTATCTAGTAAAATTGCACTCATCTTTATATTCGTGCAGGATTTAGATGCTGATGGAGAGAGAAGTCGAGGTAAATGTCCACTTACTCCTCGTGAAGTAGGATTGATGCTGCGGGCACTTGGTTTTGCAAATGACACATACATCTATGTTGCCTCTGGAGAAATATATGGTGGAGAAGAGACTCTGCAACCGCTAAGATATCTCTTTCCAAACTTCTATACAAAAGAGACGCTGGCCAACGAAGAGCTGCAACCTTTTCTTCCTTACTCTTCTCGCCTTGCTGCCATTGACTACATTGTTTGTGATGAAAGTGATGTTTTCGTCACCAATAATAATGGAAATATGGCAAGGATTCTTGCAGGTCGAAGGTGAGAAATCTATTATTTCTTGTATCATGCTCTCTTTATTTATTTATTTTTTTGGTACAGTCCCATGTCTTGCATATACTTGCTAACTTTTATGTTTATCTAGAAATTTATCTGTTGAATTAATTTAAAGATGTGAAATTTGGACCAGGCTCTAAATATAACAAGCAGAATAATGCCCTTAACATAAACATGTATTAATTTACCTACCTGTAACATAATGTGAGGCTTGGTATATAAAGTATATAATGATTGGATTTTAAAATATTTCATCTGAAATATATAAAGTACAGACTTTTATGAACGTCTTCAGTTGAAGGTTTTGTATCGAACCGATTACTGTAGAGTCGATATTGTTCAGCGTTTTTGCATATTTAAGATAGTGTTATTTTTCCATTCCTTCATGATTTCTTGTTTGGATTCGAAGGAGGTACATGGGGCACAAAAGGACTATAAGACCAAATGCCAAGAGGCTGAGTTCTTTATTGAGGGGAAGGGATCAAATGGATTGGGACACCTTTGCCAGAAAAGTGAAGGCAGTTCAAAGAGGATTCATGGGAGAACCAGACGAGATGAGACCCGGACGAGGCGAATTTCATGAATTTCCATATTCTTGTATCTGCAAAAAGAGTGGAGATCCTGAGCGGGAACAAATAAGAGGAAATCAAGGAGCGAGGGAGAGAAGCAAGGAAGAAGAGCCAGTTTTGGGAGCCTAGGAAGTTGAAAAAGTGTTTCCTTCATCAGAGGAAAGAAGGATGCCGCATGTTGGATTTGAGGACTAGAACTTGGTTGTTTGTCTGGCAGAAAATTTGACGTAACATGCCATTTGGTTTTGAGCCAAAGCACAAAAGGGAACTTTATCATGTTCCTTCCCATTTTACTGGTAGCACGTGGGAGGAAAAAATTCGTAAGGGAGAGCCATGTTTAAGAACTTTCGACTGTTCTGTTTGTTAGGTAAATAGGTATGTGTTTCAACTATTTATGGACTATATTTCATTAAAGAACAATTCTAGAGATTGTTTTGTTTGATGTTTGATGGGTACATTTTATCCCTCCCCCCCTTTTGGATAATAAAGTACAACTATTTATTTCAAGTGCTCTACAATCATGATTCTGGTGAACCTTTGCTTCATTGTTTTCATGTTTTGCACATAAATGAAGTTGGCCAGTGATTCCATTCAAATCAACGATTCAGTGTTGTATATGACTTTAAAAACCTCAGCACCTTGCTCTCTCTTTATCACATTTAATGACGAATGGATTTGTCACAAAACAAGCTTGCAAAATTCAATTTTTTAAATCGAATTCTTTATTTGAATTGATGTTTAATAACTAAAATTTAGTCGACTCATAATTTCATATATTCAATTCAAATGTTAAGAAAAAATTTTAATAAAATTTTACTATGAAATAAAATTCAAATTCAAAATTTTTACTAATTAATAGATTATTTTCGACTTCTAATTAAATCTTCACTCCCTGAGATATATGCATATCACACATAAAAGAATACTATATATATATAATTATAAAAAAAATCATTTTAACTAAAATCAATTAGTACAATAATATTATAAATATTTATAATTAAATTTAAATAAAAAATTGACTTAACTCGAGCCAAATTTCATCAACTCATTTTTTTTTACACGAGATGATTGAATGTTCATCCTATATTTAAGCACATATTTCGTGCAAGAGATTCAGAACCCAATCCCCAGGTTCGACACTCTGCAACAGCAACGTTTTTCCAATTATTTTGCATAGTATAAACATAATAAATGAAATTTAACACACGTAAAAGCTCATGATCAACAAAGCATAAGAACAATGGTTTGAATCCTGATCTTTTTATTTTGAATCCTTTAGGAGCAACACAGAACTAGAAGAAACCCCCAATGGATAGGTCCATGCACCGAGAAAATAAGGCAGATGAGCAGTTAGATGCAACAGAGATACATGGGCCGATATCAGCTTTGCAATGCTGCTCTGTGAATATGAAGCCCAACTACTTGAGAGGGGGCGTTCCATATGCAAACGCTAGAAGAGCATGGCCTAGAGAGATCACATCATAATAATTCTAAAATAGAACTAAAAAACAGAATCTACAGCTACATTAAAAAAGCCAAAGAAGCAACTTTCGTTCCTAGCTTTCTCCTCTATCATCTGATAATTTACACAAGCTACCCAGAATTTCTTCAAGACTGGATTCCTTTAGTTGCTTTCTACCTTTTGGTTATTTCCTGTTATTTTCCAGGCAGTTGTATCAAATTGCATATTTGAAAACAAAGGAAGCTAAAAGCACGGCAATGTTAATTCAGAAACTTACCATTCACCTCTGGTACTTCTGCTTTGGATTTTGTGACTTTTGTCATGTGAAACAGAAGGGATTTTTGAGATCGTCAATGAGCTTTGTATCCCTTCCAAAAGCTGTGGACAATAAAAGAAAGATACATAACCGGATAAGTACAAACCATAAGAATAAATGCATGAAAGTTACAATATGAAGAGAGAAGAGTGGCATATCCTAGTTTAATGCAAGCCTGTGCCATACGTAACTCCTCAAAGTAGCAAAAACAGCACTCTTCGAATTCCTACTGTCATTCAACAAAATGTTGTACATGGTTTGAAATCACCACCATCACACCCTATATATATCTGTCTGACTAAATATGTCAAATGTCATAACTCAATGTAGGTTTCCTTGATTATGATAAAAAAATACAAATATGGAAAAGACACTGCTTGTGATGCCTCTACGCCCTAATATTGGTAAGTAGAATAGGAATTCAACAACTTTGCCAATTGTCAATTTCATTTCCCTATTACCCTACAAGGGAAATGTTTCTATATGACAATCCTCTATTTCCCGACTTGTTCCCTGCTGAGTCTGAAACCAGGAGTCTTACACTTAAAAATGTCACCGCCTTGCAAGCAAAGAAGTTTGCAACACACAAAAGTTCACATGGGCACGTGATGAACAAGCAAGTTAATTTTCAATTACATTTTCACGAAAATGGTAGCATATGAATTTGCAGTATGGTGATCATAACTTACGAGATAAATGATAATATCTTTGAACTTACTCTTGAGGTTGGCTGGATCCTGCGATTAGATCTACGAGGTTCAACAACATCAGAGCTTGTTTTTGTTGAATCGCGATTGAAGACATTTTCCTCGATTTTTGCCAACTTCCCAGAAACTGGTGCAAGTTTCCCCTTATTAATCCTTTCAGATTTAACATTTGATGCAGAAGCTTTCTTGGGGGGTGCATCTAATGAGAGGGCCATAGAAGAAAATAAGACTGGGCCCTCGGCTGCCCCATCGGAAGATGAAAATGATCTTAACTCCATCATGTTTGGCTTTCCTGATATATTCTCAGCATGGCTTATAGAACCCTCCAATTTTGACACGTCTGATGCCACAGCACTATCAGGTTCAGAAACCATAGTGTTTGATAAGTCGTCCTGAGGAATACTTCTAGAAACACTAGGCAGTTTTCCAGGCTTGAGAATCTTGGGCTTGGATACAGCCATTCGTTTTTCCTTTGGTTCAATTTTACTTCTAGTTCCACGGGGTTTAGATCCTCTAGGCATTAAATATTTTGTAAACTTGGCTGAATCACTAGTTTCATGAGTCTTGCTACTCTGATCGGCAACATAATGTTTGCTCACTTCCATAAACTTTTGCTTCTTTCCAGGCTTAGGAACACCAAAAACCACTCCTGACCCTTTCTTCTTTAAACCAGTACGTATCATTCTGAGTGAATCAGGCTTCCTCTCATCTCTGGTGCTTTTACCAATATTGAATGTTCCTTCACTTGCAGATAAATCCAGCGATCTCGTGTCATCGGGTTGCCCAGATTCCTTAATATCATCATTTTTTGAAAGCTTATCTTTCCCTTTGGCCTCAACCGCAGGACTGCTTAACCTTTGTCGTTTTTCCTGCGGGGTATCACCCTGAAGAATAGACCAATGAATTAGCACCAAGAAGCAACTTAAGTATATGAGAGAAACATCAACCACAAGTATAAGGTAGCATTCACCTCATGGGAAGACTCATTATTATCAAAACTGGACCACTCAACCCAACTACCTTTCTTCCACATCAAAGAAGGACGAAGAAGCCATGCTTTGACAACAGATGTTTCTCCTTGTGCTGCAATAAAAATAATAAAATGAACAGAGTACAGGCTGTATAGACTTTACTACTGGGCAGATTTCATCTCCTTAATTAATGTTGTATTTGGTCATACATACCAGGAAAATGGACGGTAAAAGAAGTTTCATCTTTCTTGCTCTTCTCAGTGATAACTCCCTCCCACCAGCTGAAAGACAAATAAACAAACATAACTTTATTATTTTTTATCAATTTCAAACATCAGTTCATTCCTTCATAATTAAAATTGAAACAACTTGATACAGTTGAAACTCTCCTTCCTCTCTTAATGCAAGAAGGAAATACATGATGGATGGGAAACACATAGCATATGAACCATCAAGGTGGTCCACAGCCATCCCAAAAAACAAGGCAAAAAAACGCAGTCTTGCATAAATCAGTTTCTCAAAGCATGGACAGATTAAAAAATGACAAATCATAGGGTTGCCCAAAAGATCATTATGGATATCCTAAAGGTAGAACTGTCATTAACTTGATATTTAGCAAAATATTTTTATGGATTTCAGGTCAGATTTTGTTGATATTCATAATCACTTTTGTCCATAGTAGAGCACAATCTATTTGTTGTGTTTCAAGGAAATTTTACACAGTTTACATACATACATGCAAATGAAAATAATGTACCATTGTATGATTTATCTAACACTATTCATGAAACAATTTTTCACATCCTTTTCAACATACTTTTTAGTGCAGTTAGTGACAATTTAAAGTCTGCATACAGATTCATCAAGCACTATTTGCTTTGGGCAATATGTAAAATGGCTCACGTTGCTAGTTCGGCTAGGAGAAATAGACAAATTATTATTATCCTACAGTCTACTTCCTCGTATAGATTTTATAATGTCCCCATAATCTTCAACAGTACCATTTCTGTCCAATGGATTGCAAGAAATAGAGAAAAGACAAAATGCATGCATACCTATTTTGCATCCATGCATCAATCCTATCTCCAACAGACCAATTATAATCCCCCAAGGCTGCCCTTCGTCTCTTCCTTGTTCCTTCAAATGACATGGCTGTAATAGGACGGGCACAGCGTATCCTGGGTGCTTGATCACCTTCAAGTTCAAGTTCCACCCATTCCTTTAACCTATCGCCATCTGCAAAACAAGCAGTCAAGATAGGTTTATTAAGAAACTATTATATAATATGCGCGTGTCACAAGACTTCTAAAGAAATTTCTGTCATAAGAAACTAAAAGTTTCAACACACAAGTTATGTAGGAAAGTAAAAAGGAAATATACCCTCACTCTAGTGTATTTAATCATATTTTAAATCTCCCCACAACAGAAGCACACATCATACTAAGATTCGGCCGCCTAGAGATGATCATGCAATATTTAAGAAAAAGAACAAGTCCGTACACATCAACAGGGAATTGCATAAAAATTTAAGGACACCCAACAGATCTGCTTTAATAGTTATCAAGACTCAGTTGATTCGAACAAAACATAAGTTATGGTGGATGTGATTGCTCACCCTCTTGTCGAAGTTCATTGTAACACACATAAGCTTTGCCCTCTTTCAACTTCAGTATATCTGCCAGGAACCATGCTGCTCTTGACCCACTTCCATCTCTCAATACCTGGACAAATGTCAAACTCAATACTATCTCGACAAATTCCCATCAAATACAAAAGTATTTCAACTAAAAAACACAAATCTCAAGTCACATTTTAATAGAAGTCACAAACCTCAACATGCGAGCCTTCCCTTATATTATTATCTTTTGAAGTTTCCCCTTCCCCTGCTTTTTCAAGGGCAGCGGTCACCAAAGGTGATCCAAACCCAATCTGAGATCCAGAAGCAACTCCTTTAGTTTTGGTGACATCTGAAGCTTTGCGGCCCTTTTGCCCTTTTTTATCCATTTCACCAGTTGCAACAGGAGCCAAATCTGTCAACCTAGAATGATCTTCCATAGACTCCCTGGCCATCTCTCTAAGGGTAGGTGACTTTCCAAGGTTATCACTCTTCTTTTCCCTCTTGTCCTCTTTTAGATTCCCAACTGATGAACCAGGAGCTTTCACACTACTACCTACGTTTATGCGTCCTCTAATAGCAATATCCAGCTCAGGAGATGATTGGGGTACTTTCCAGTATGCCTCTGGACCTGCTTCTACCAATTCAATCAATGAGAAAGTTTCACCCATAGCAACAATCTTTCCAGCTTGTGACACAGCTTCAGCTGCCAACTCAGCAGCTTTGACAATGGCATCCATGTTTTCAGCTTGCTTTGAGGCAGCTGAAGCTGCTTCTAACCTCCTCCTAGCAGCTTCTCTAGCAACAACAATGGCAGAATTCGAACTAATAGTAGCATCCTCAGCCCTTAAGATGGATGCAGGAGTAGCCTTGCTCAACTTCTTCATCCTATCAGAGATTGAATTATTGGGAATGGAATTTCTGTAGCCACTTGAAACCAATGCTTCATCAGCTATCAGTTTTGCTTGCAAGGCAGCATTTGAGGCAACATTGGCAGCTGCAGCTGCAGCCTTTGCAACAGCAGCTGCTGCTGCTATTGCAACAGCTGCGGAAGTCAATTTAGTTTCAACATCTGGTGACAACCCTAAATTTTTGTGCTTGTCCAACTGATTCCATATTTCTTGACTGTGACTAACAGCAGCAGCAGCAAGAGCAGCAGCATTCTCTGCATGCTTCTGAGCATTATCATGTTTACTAAGAGTCTCTTCAGACAGACCAGCCCTCTGATCTGATTCTTGGTTGCCCTTTTTGAGTTGATTAGAGAAAGATGCCACCAATTTATCAGTGGAGGACTTGGATATATTGGCAGAAGGAACAGTAATGGCAGCAGGTGTAGAGGAATGACTAACCACAACAGTAGCCAAAGAGCACTCTGATTGAAAATGTGGTATAATCTGAACAGGCTCTTCGGAAACTGTAGACTTTTTCCGTTTTCTAGGCTTTGGATCAGCAGAATGCTGACCAGGTGTTAATGCTGTCTTTTTTGTGTCAAGCAGGGGAGTCCCTGCAAAAACATTAGCAGTACTTCCACCCTGGACCACAGGAACTGCAGAAACCTGTTTCCCGCTAGAAGATTGAGGCACAGATGCTTTTACAGGATTCAAATTAACTGCTTGATAACAAGCATTGCCATCAAACGCAGAAGTCTGCGGAGTCCAGGGGCCACGGAAAGGGGATTGGGGCATCCAAGAAGGATTGTGTCCACTAAAATTCCTTGTAGGCGGAGGATGTAATGGAGAAATTGCCAGCTGATAATCCATAACTGCACCTCTTGGAAGGCCAGTTGGTTGAAGGGCATCAACGGAAGGTGTACGAATACTCCATAGTGGTGATGAAAGAGGCATCATTTGCTTTACAATTGCCGTTGTTGGAGTACCCTTGCTGGTAGACCAACTAGCAGGCGAGAATGTAGCCTTACTCTGAAGTGGACTTTGTTTGATTGGTTGATCAGAAGTTTTAGCACCTGATCATCTCAACCAAGGTACAATATTAATAGACAACAGAATCAGAAGAAACTATTTCAACAACTTAAGAACAGGAAAGATACCTATATGAGACTGCACCGGAGTTTCTGGGCTAAGAAGCGATTTTTGACCATGTACCCTCTCTATACCTGCTCGCCAGGCATTTTCCCAAATGGTTTTACCACCATCTGCGGACAACCAAAATAGTGAATATATCTGTATAAAAAGTCCCAGAGATATCATCTATAGAGTTAAGAAACCCAACCAAGACCTCCAAATGCCGCTATCATATATGCCTCATCAGGTACTGTTCCTTGTCTACAGCGACATTATTCAAAACAATTAGATAAATGTGCTCAAATGGTACAAAATGAAAATGCAATACAAAGACAATTAGGTTTGACAATGATATCAAAGCACATGAACAAAAATCTCATTACATGCTAAAGACAAAATGCAAGTTATAAGTCTTACATTAAAGCTCCATACACAAAAATCTGAGCTCGTAACTGAACTTGTTGCAAATCCATAAAAGGCTGATGAAAAACTGCATACGAAGAAGGTCATGTGTTCAAGTCTGGCAGACTAAATACTGAAGTGGAAAGAACACCAAATTGTTTTATATTACCACCTTCTGTGTGTCCATGGTGATGCATCTCACTGGATTGCACAAGCTGACCAGTTCCAGCTGAAGTGGGTGACACATTTCTTGTTGTCTCACTTCTTTCTGATTGTCTTGCAGGAGTTGTTTCTTTTGTAGCATTTCCCTTCCTAGCAGCTTCCTTTCCAGCACTCTTACCACCTGATCGTCTTGGTTTACGCTCAGAAGCCCCTTTGGAGCCACCACGTGCATTCCCCCTTTTAGTTACCTGAGGATTTGTATGACTTGTCTCTTGAGCAGCTTTGGGCCCTGCTATGCTAAATCCAGAGGTTGATGGAGTTCCTTCCGTGGCCTTCTTGTATCAAGACAGTGTGAGAGAGCAAGTGCAAGAGGGTAGGGTATGACCAGAATGAAATTATAAAAAAATAGAACCATACTTATTAAAAGTCTTCAGCTGGAAGACGAGCAGCAGGACATTATTATAGAACAAAAAGACTTGACATAACCATATGCACCACTTAAAAAAATTACCGGGGATATTTTTTCATGTTGCATGGTTGAGAAAGGCTTCCAATTCTTCCCAGATTTTTGTTCAGACACAGCTAACGAGGAAGGTACCTCAAAGGTGAAACTTTTGTCTCCTTGAGTTGCATCATTTCCTTTTGTATCCTGAGAAATTGACTGCTCTTTGTTTGCTTCCCTTTTAGTGATGCCAGACACTACAGCACTCTGATCTTTGGATCCTCTCACAACTGCATTTTCAATTTTACTTTGTGACTGCTCAGAAGTTCTAATGACAACTGGAGAGCCACAGGAAGGATTGTCAAGATCAGCACTTCCACTTTCCATCATGTGAAACTTAGTTTGAGATTCAGATGAAGGCGAAACAAAGGAAGTATTAGAAGTCTTTGCAGGATCAACTGCAGCATCAAAATAATCCATGAGAACAATGACATGAAAATTAAGAGCGGAAAACAGGAAAAAACTAATGAAATGATCTCAAATGAAAACAGAGTCATCAAAGAAGCTAAGAATGCAAAAACAATAAAAATATTTCACCCTTGAACATGATAAAATTCACAATACAGAAAATAAGAACAAAGAAAGATCCATCTCAAGAACCTAAGGGAAAGGCAGGAGGAATGGGAAAAAAAGAAGAAAACATGCTTCTTCCCAACCGGGAAAAAAAACAACCTAAGGGGAAAAGACCGGGGAAAACAGTAAAGGAGGGATTCACCGTGACAGACATAAAACAATAAAATTGTAATTACTTCAAGTAAAACTGATAAAGAAACTCACCATCAACATAATGCACAGCAACATGACCACTGATCTCGTCAGAAACCAATTTGGAATCACTATCTTTAGGGTGATTTTGGTCAGCATTATGGGAGGTTTCCATTGAAGTTGAAGGCACTGAATCCATCGACGTCTTGTTTAGCTGAGTTGATACACCTGACGAAAATATTTTGTTCGCTGGCATTAACCTTATAGAGTTTCTTGAATCATAAATGCTAGGTAATATGCTTCATAAAGTGAAGCACCAACAGCACATAAATCAGTTATCATCACGAGAACAAAATAGATCAGAAAGAATGAGCCAAGGAAACAGCACCATAATAACAAGGAAAAAAGTGAAACGGACAATTAAACAAATGAACTGGATATGGAAGAATACCAAATAGAATTAGCATAAACACCCAATAAGAAATAGCTAATAAAAATTTATCATATTCAAATTTAAGTTCAGATGATAGCTAATTGAACAGTAAACCAATATATTCTATAACTAATAGGTCACCTGCAGCATCTGTAGAAACCTTTTTAGAGATATCTTGAGCTTCGTCGCCATCAGTCTTCCTCACTGCTGAATCAAAGACCATAGATGGCGAGTGTGTATCCTTTCCAACCTCCGGTGTGACTCTGCAAAGAGTCTGGTCTCCACTTTCACCCTCAACGGTAGTGGTATCCTCCATTAACAATGACTGATCATCTTTCTTGCATGAGAACTGTTCACCAGCCTCACAAGAAGCATCCTTTTCAGTTGTTGTTTCAGAGGTCTTTATGATTGAGAAACTTGCTTCTAAAGATGGCACCTGAACCTCTTTATGATCCAAAACAGTAATGACCGGCATATCCTTGCCGGAAGGCAAAAGAACACAATCCACTGTACCAAGGAGCACCAAATAAGCACATGATAAAGAATGGATAAACAAAAGTACAAAGAAGGAAATAGAAGTTCAATTCTTAGACATAATGCTTCAGAAAATACATACCCGACATACTGCTGACAGCAACATCAGGTTGTAGGTTTGAAGTTAACTCATTTACCTTGCCACCAGCACCAAACGATGAGGAATCAACTCCCTTCGTTACAACTGGGGATCCATCATCACAACAATCTGCACTACTACAATCAGAAGGCAAACTGGTTTTCTGCTTAGCAGCAGCTGAACCACTTTCATCACATTTATGATCATCATTATGTTTGGTGACAATGTATTTTTCACATACTCTAATGGGTTCAGTTACCAAAGTGACATGAGAACCTATATCTTCATCCTTAGAACTTTCACCATCTTCCACTAACAACAAAGATTTCTCAGACTTGCTACTCAAGATTTTTTTATCTGGATGACAATCACTTTCTAACAAGTCCTCCTTCTCAATAGCATCAGATGCTTCCAGCAACATTGAATTCACCTTTGACTCTAGACCATTAGAAATCATAGTATCAGTATCAATAACCTCATTTTCATGCTCCTTGAGGGTATTATCAATAACAACTGGCATTGATGGTGTGTCATGTAGTTTTCCTTCTGACAAGACAGTGTCTTCAGACTTGCTGATCTGCAGAGGAATTTCTGCACCTGCGCCCTCACTGCATTCTTCCACATGGAGGTAAGAACTCCCTTCCAATATCCTATCAGAAGGCTCATCCACATTAAATATGCTGTTTCCGACAGCATGTTCTTCTTCCCTGGATTGCATGTCCAAAGCTGAATGTTTCTGTACATGCGAGGTAACACTTGCAACTGTATCATCAATCAAGTTCCTGCCACCAATGTGACGCTCTGGACATAAATCAACATTTTCACCATCTAAACTGTCCACATTTTTATCAATGATATCATTTTTCAAATGTGTATCTTGATCATCTATCAAAACACCACTCAAACATGTGCTTTGCACAGAAGGAATTACAGTATCAACTTCTGACCCAGAAGCAAATTTATCTTCCTGTCCCCTGTTATCCAAAGACTGATCAACCAAAGCTTCCGCTCGAGTTTCATCAAGAACAATTTGTTTACCCTCTTTAGACTCATCTGTCTCAGTCAAAGGTATGTCGGTATTTCTGCTATTTGGATCTTCTAATCCCCCATGAACAGATGGCTCTCTCTCATGGGTTTTAGAAGCATCTTCAACCAATTGATGGTCTCCCATACATTTGCCAGGAATTTCACCTGTCTGTAGAGTAGGTTTTATGTCATCTAACTTAGAAAGGCCACTATCTTTGTGTTTCACACTAGGTTCCATCTGCTTTATCATGCAACCCAGTTCATCGCAGGCATCTGAATCCTTGCTAATAGTTTGAGAAAGTGTATTTTCGTCCTGCCCTAAAGATTTTAACAGCATTTCAACTGATTCTGAGGACGCTGCCTCAGACCAGACATTGTTGCGCCTAGAAATCAAACACGGTTCTGCTGCACTTGAACTAAATGCAATCCCAGTACTCCCACGCGAAAAATCTTCAATCCACTGATTATCTTCACTGTTTTCAATACCGAGAAAAACTTCAGTCTCAACTAAACTATCAAATCTTGAATGTCCACGAAGATTATCATCAAAATCAAATCTTGGGAGATCATATGACCGCAAAACAGGAGGAAATTTATTGTTTCCTTCACCAGCTAAATGAAGATTCTGGCTTTGGGAATCATTGTCATCATAATCCATGAGTGTATCCCTACAACAGAAAAAGTTCATAAGAAAAAAACTGTTGAATCAGAAATTCAGACAAAGTGATCAGGATTCTTGAGTTTAAAGAGTATCCTGTCATAGCATGAATTGCATCAGAAAGCTTAAAGTTTACAACCTTTATACAAACAGAACAATCCACACTACCCATCCAACTACTTCCAGTAGAGTTGAATACTAATGTACAGTTCAAAGAAGATTAATGAAGAGAAAATAAGTTAAACTGTTCACATGGCATAGCCCGACCTCATCTCTTGGAGTAAATATGCCACTCACTTGATATCTAAAATGCAGAAATGGTGGTTATGAGTTCATTTAACTAATTTACACTTCCTGTACATAAATTTTATGTCTCCAACATAAGGAAATCAACAGTACATTATCAGGTGAACAAATATAGTTAAACCAAAACATGGCAAGTGAAAAGCCACCTGAGGAGTTTTCAAACCCACTACAGTGTGCACATTAATAATCCTTATGAATAAAAATAAACATGAACTATCAGTTGGTTGCACTATATATTAATGCAAGTATATAACAAACTAATTCCAAACAAAGATCTCGCTGAAACCATTAATTAGTCAACTACGAATTGACTTAAACAAAACCTCCTGCTCAATCATATTAACTTTTAGAAAATTATTACTAAATAACAGAAACTGGAAAAGGAATTGACTGAGGCAAACTTGAAAACTTAATAAAAGAACTCAGTTCCAATATTTACGCACAGAATAACAAAAATTAAGTTCCAAACCTTAAATAACAATACACCTCACCACCTCAAGAAGATAGATAACTGTTTCCAGGTTCTCTAATTAAAACGAAAAGCAAAAACCCTAAACAGAATTTGTTTATAAAAATCAAAGTAGGAATGTGAACAGTTACCAGAGTAAGTAAGTCTAGAGACGCTACCTCCCTCCATTCGGTGGCGAAATCCCTGTTCGCTTGATCTCAACTCCTCCCTAATCGTACGGTCATCTACTGCACCAAAAAAACTCCTATTCAAAACAATAGCACTTTAAGCACGCCATAACTGCAAAAAAAGCAGCAACAAGAAGGAGCCAAACTACAAAAAAAGGGGGGACAAGGTAAAATGAAAGGAACAAGAGAAAATTTTGTTTGAATAAAAACCTAAAGTAACGGCGGAGTAAATGAATAGAAGAGTTAACTAATAACTGCAACTTACAGGAATCTTGAATTGTCTAGTTGATTGAGTTAGGGTTCCGTTGAATCGAAGTAAAAAACAAAGTCGGTAGAAGAAAGAGAAAGAGGGGAGATTTTTCCGATGTAATAAAGAGACCCTTAGACTCGTTTCCTCGCTGAGAAAAACAAATAAATAAATAAACGAAACGAGTGATAATTCAGTGAACTCTAAATATGGCGAACATCAAAGGGCCCTCGATGTTACGGAATATGACACGTGGCTTATATTAGACGTCCGATAATATCTACATTCTGCACTACGGATTTAAGGATGAATTACCTTAACGGGTCACCCAACTTTATAATCATTTCTATTGGATGACCTAACTTCAATTTTCAACCTAATCACTAACGTTCTTTAAATTTAAAATTTTGATCTCACGGTTAATTTGTCAAGGAAACACTGTAGCTTTTTAGTTCCTTTTTAGTTGTTTAGAAAATAGTAAATTACACCAATAATTGTTGAATACAACTATGTCAGACCGAAGCTCCAACTTACTTTATTTTAAATCTACACGTACTTATGATGTTGGTCTAGTCAATATGGAACTCAAAGTGAGTTATAGAAGGTATAATTCCTCTTACTCGACCTCGAGGTACAGTCGAATAGAATATGTCATATTAGTTACTAAAGTGACTTCAAATTAATCAAAATTTTATTATCCATCAATATAATAAAAAACAATTAACAAGACATTAACTCTACTACATTAACTTCATAACAATCATGATAGAACCATGAACCATGTCAATCAAATTTGAGAAAAATACCATCAATTTACAAAATTTTAAACTTTAAGGATTGAATTATAAAGTTCAACTAAACCTGTAGAAGTTTCTCAAAACATGATATTATTTAATAATAATGTGATTAAACACGTGTTTAGTCAAAACTATAATTTCAAAATTAACCATTACCAAATCGGACGATAATTGGTGAAGATATGATTGAGGGACAAATTTGTAAAAATTCAAAATTCAAGGGAGAGTTTGAAACTCTTACAATAGTTTTGAATCTCCTATTCTAAAAAGTTTAAAGCAGTGAAACTTTGTGATAGTAATAAATTTTTTTAATCTAATTTTGATACTTTTGATTTAATTTCGAAGAAATACTAAAAATATCATTATAGAAGGATTTAAACATATTTTTTTTAAAAAGCGCAGATTATAAGAGATCAATTCTTATAGTAATGAGACATAAAAATCATTGAAAACCATATTCATAATCCTAAAAATTACTTTTTTTTAACCGATTATCTATTTTAGTGCACGAACCAACTTACCTTAATAGTTAAAAAATCGTTGTTGTTCTTAGAGGTTATAGGTTCAAGCACCGGCGATTGTAACAGGGTGATTGAACGATCAATGTCAAATGGTTGATTGTATTTAAAACATATATTATTTTTTAATCACCCTAGATTTAAAAAAATACCTATTTTGGTATTTTTTTTACTAAATGAAACTTGTTTTATTAGTCAAATAAAACATACATGTCAATGTTCAAATGAAAATTAGTTCAAATCAGAGGTTGACATACAGAAACACTGTACGTTGAGTTCAACGATGGTGTTGATGTCGAAATTCAGGGTTAGGTTTCGGTGCTTAAATGAAGACATCTAATATTTTCAAGGAGAGAATATATTCGTAAATCGGATACAAAAAATTTAAAACATTAGTTTAGGATAACGATTATCCTAAGATAACAAAGACAAAACCACTAATGCTGACATGGCCATTTTTCATTGAACCATGTCAGCACCTGATGAGAACTGTTGTTGAGGAAGAAGATTACATAATTACAGTGTAAATATGTATATAACAAAGAAGTTTAGAATCATACTCTACACCAATATCCAAGGCTTATCCTACTTCTGTAAAGGTGTTAGCTCTAGATCAAGCAGAATATATGTTAAATGATGTAAAGATTAGAATTTACAATGAATTTGACACTGAATTACAAGTGAAGGTGACCGATACCTTCCCGGCACCCGGCGGAGTCGAACTCATACCCGCCATGGCTTCTCGGTCAAGTCTTTTGAGAAAACGTACCTGAATCTTGACCTATAAGGCAACCAGTCAATGACCTGCAATGGTTTCTTCTTGGATTTGCCATCCATACATTTCTGTATTGAATTGTGGAGCTTCTTGTCGACGTTTCGGAGAACCCAGTTCAGTAGATCGTCGGAGCCGATCGAGGCTTCTTTTGTGAACCTTTCGAGAACTCTGGGTAGAAATACTTTCTTTGACTTCTTAACAACTACATTTGCTTGGAGAAATTCTCTTGTTGCAGCTTCTAGCTCTTCTTTAACATTCGATGCCGTGTAAACTTTTAGCTACAAATTGCAGGTTAGTTTGAATACTGACTTTGAATATTGGGATGAAAATCATTGAAAATCCTACTGCAATACAGTGTAAAAGAGAAGCAGAAATACCACAGGGTCCGAAAAAGCTCCAGTGCAAAGAGCAAAGCAGGCAAGTGGTTGGGAATATGAAAGACCGAATTTCGAACCGATAATTTGCCTTTCTTCACCAGATTTTTTCCTCAAGGCAGTGGAGAGGATGGTCTCTAGCCACTGGTAAAAACAGTTCAAATATGTGAATATCAGGAAACTGGCATTCTGTATATTACTCTTAGATTCCAAATGTTATACCCGTCCGGTTCGAGGTGTATGGAAGCAAAATATCGACTGCTCTATGGCATTTGCACTTATATGAAGCCTGCACTACACAGAAAAACCTATCGATTTCATCATCTGATAGCATATAAAATCATAACGAAAGAATGCCGAAGATGCATCCACTCCAGTATTATTTCCTAAATTGTCTTTGATTTAGATAAAGTAAAGGAATAGTGAAACAAGACCAACGGTCTCAAGGAACCGTGGGGACTTCCATATGCTAAATATGCCTGCACAAGGAACACTTGAGAGTTTATGATAGTAAAAAGAAAGAGACAATCAAGGGGCTGGTAAATAAATTTAAGCTTACATGCGTGACAAGGGCATTGTACACATTGATCCAGAATGCAATTTTGGCATCATATTCCATCTGACTCACTGTCACTTTTTCTAGTTGTTCCACCAGAGCTCTGAAATCGACAAAGTAATGCACGAGAAATAAACACAGCAGAAGTTTTTCTTAAGCATGTTGTGTTTAGGGAAGAGTTTCCAACAAGATTTATGCTGCGATGTGCATCTTACTTTCCTCAAAACACAGTATTTCTCTAACCAACCTGTAGTTACTAATGGCATAAGATGCTCGAGAAAATCGGTTCCTATTAGTTGATATCCAAGATATTTCAACATTGGGTGTGCAAGAGAAATCCTGGTCCTCTTCAATGCCGCGTGTCGAAACGATTTTTTCTTCAAACGGTGAAAAAAGGTGAGATTTTGAAAACCACATCAATTTTTAACTTATTTTGTTCAATTGATTTTTAATTTAAAAACAAATGCGATTTAAAAGACCTCTCGTTCCGAAAATTTTTGAATTTCCTTTACGATCGAAAAATACGGTTTGAAGAGTCGCCACCAATCTTTGATTAGGGTGTGATTGGGCACCCAAAAATGCTTTGTCATTTTAAATAAAAATTAATTTTAATTAAAACAACAAATTAAGGTATGCGTTACCAAAATCTGAGTTCGGGAGTCGGTTACGTGCGGGGAAGGATTGACACCCCCACAACGCCCTAAAACGGTACCTAGTCGATTAATTAATGTCTATGCAATGAACTTTACAAATTCTAATTTAATTTGATTTTTGATCCCATAAAACAAAGATATAAATTTAAAAACATTCAAAAGCACTCAAAATAATTAAATTAAAATTACCAAATCGTTTTAGAAAGATAAAGAATGTTCGATTATTTACAAATATCGAGACCAGATCTTAAAAGTTATAACAACCTTTTCTCGATAAATTTAAATAAACAAACATTTCATTTTCTTTCGTTCCCAAATTTTAGAGTGATGGATCAATTTTTAGGCGTTACTAATGGGATACACTTTTATTTTAAAATCATTAAAAGCGGACCTCAAATCAGTTATGACTGCCCACTTAAAACAATTTTAAATTAAAAGTATATTACCCTTAATCCAATTATGTGGTATGTCGAGTTATGCAAATGAGGCTATCATGTAAATTGTGAAAAAAAGTATGTCACCAAAAATTAATTATACAAAATTAAAAATAACATACAACGTGTCAGGCAAAAAATTATATACATATGTTTTAATTAACAATCATAAATTATTCATATTAACATATTATGTACACATGTGACCTGAATATCATAACATGCTAAACTATAAATTAAAGAAGTGTACATATACACATTAAAAATGACAAAATTAAATAAATGTAAAATTCAACATACAAATCAAAAATAAATTAGGGACTTGAATAAAAACACGCATAAATATAGAGGATTTAACATAAATAATCTAAAAAATTACAACTAAAATTAAAATTGGGAAAACAACGAAATCAGGACAATTATAAAATGACAGAATTTGAAAGCAGTCCTAAAGGTGACTAAAGTGTAAATAAAAGCTAAACCTATGTGGACTAAATACTAATTTTACTCTAAAGTTATAATGGCTAAACACTAATTAATCCTAAAATGTTAATATAAAACCTAAGTAAAACTTAAACCTAAGCTAAACTAAACTAAACTAAACTCTGCCGCTCCTCACGTTTCTTCTTCACTATCCCTTTCTTCTCCGATCGTTCTTCACCAACCTCACGACCACCGCTCAACGGTGACCAGAGAAACTGAAACTAATCCTAAACCAACATATACGCCACGATTTTCCTTAAAGATCATAAATCTGAAACTAAAAGTTCGCTAAATCAACCTCTAGAAGACAAAAAAAAAAGACAGTTCGTATGTCTCTCGAAACCAAACCACCATCGCTCGCCTATAGACGCTTTGACTCGCACTACGCTGGCGACCTACGACAAGGAATCAACGATGAGGTAAAATATCTCACTTTTCCTACTGTTTTTTTACTTACACCACATGCAAACGATCCCTAAATTCTAAGGTTGACGAGGAGGTTGAACCCCAATATTTACTCCGACGAAGCTACCCTACATCGACGAAGAGACCATCCACCATAT